CTTGCCAGGGGCCCCAAATTCTTCCATGGGCCCCCGTACCGCCTGGTCACGCTTGTGCTGTGGGCCCACAGTGTGACCTGGGTCCCTGTACCGCCTCTCATTGCTTCCCACTCTGCCATGTGCCACTTTGAGGTCTCCTCACACTCCTGCGGTTTTCCATTTTTGTCAAAGTTTGCAGACAGAATTACAGGCCTCCCATAGGTGCTTGCCAGGCCCCAAATTTGGCGATGTGCCCCCGTTACCGCCTGGGTCACGCTGCTGCAGGGCCCTCAGTGTGACCTGGGTCCCAGTTACCGCCTCCCCATTTGCTCCCTCACTCGTGCCATTGTGCCACTTTCAGGTCACCTCACACTCTTGCTGGTTTCCATAATGTCATAGGATTGCTGTATGGGCTTCGCGGGGGGGGGGGGGGGGGCCCATTGCAGCTGCCTCCACCGCCACACTGTGGATCCAAACACTGGTTTTTGGCCCCATGACTGCCAAAAGAGAGTGAAGTGTGCGGTGATTCTAAGATCGACGTGCACTCCTCTGCCGTGGCATAATACACATTATACACATAATAACTGTACTGGACAAGTCATTATTTCTCTTCCCCAGCGGGAACGTCCACGGGAATTTAAATTAAAGGTTACGAGGGTTCTGCAACTAATATTAAGTCTCTCTGAGCCTAGAAACAACCTTTTTAAGTTTTAATTTCCAGCGAATATATTGACTCGAATCGATATTTTCCACGAATTCGCCGAATCAGTCGAATCGAATTTTTGAATACTTCGCTCATCTCAGCACTGACCATAACCATGACTACTGGCATCAAAAAGTGATGAAGTTCTATTCTCTTGTACTTTCCGAAATCAGGGGGTACAAAACATCTGGGTATATGGGTTCGTCCCATCCCAACTTCTGTCTGCATAATTCTTGCAGTATTTGTTTTGCTCTGAGGATTACTGGTGATAGGAATCCCAACGGATCATATATTGAGGCTACTATGGGAAGAATGGTACGTCTAGTTGGAACTTTCTCTTCCATGGATATTTCAAAGAAAAAATTGTCATTTTCTACATTCCATCCCAATCCGAGTACATTCTGAACTGGAAGAGGATCATAGTTAAGATCCACATTCTTTATTGTTGATGCACGTTCGGAGTCACTGATGGATTCTAGTACCTCTCTGTCGTTTGAGATGAATTTGTGAAGACGCAGGTTTGCCTTTGCGCATAACTCTTGGCTCTCTCACCAACTGAATTGCCGATTCTGAGGGTTCTAGGCTTATAAGACCATCATCTACATAAAAGTTTTTCTTCAAAAAATGTGCTGCTGATGGACAATCCTTTTCATTCTGATTGGCCAGATACTTCATACCATAATTAGCACAACCTGGGGATGATGCTGCTCCAAACAAGTGTACTTTCATCCTGTATTCTGCTGGCTCTGTATCTGTATCTCCGTCTTCCCACCATAGGAACCTCAGGAAGTCTCTATCTTCTTCCTTCACATGAAATTGGTGGAACATCTTTTCAATGTCGCACATGACTGCTATGGGATACTTTCTGAATCTACAGAGTACTCCAGGTACAGTGTTTGTAAGATCTGGTCCCTTTAGTAGATGATCGTTCAATGCAACATCATTGTACCTTGCTGAGCAATCAAAAACTACTCTGATCTTATCTGGTTTCTTTGGGTGATAGACACCTTGATGTGGAATGTACCACACTTCTCCATTTTTAGGCTGACCATCAACTTTCTCTGCATGCCCTTCTTTGAGGATTTCTTTCATGAAATTCAAATAATCGTCTTTGAGTTTGGGATCTCTTCCCATCCTTTTCTTTAAGCTTTTCAATCTTGCCAGGGCAAGATCTCTGTTATTTGGCAGATGAGGTCGTTCTCTAAAAGGTAGGGGCATTTCAAGATGACCTTGTTGATTTTGCTGAATATTATCTTCTAGGACTTGTACAAACTTTATGTCCTCTTGAGATACACTCTTTTCATTACAACTTACGTCTGCAAAGTCGGATTCTAGGATTTTGAGTACTTTCTCTGGACTTACAGTTGGTAACTCTTGGACAGATATTCTATGACACAATCCTGTCACCTGTCCTGAATCTGCAATCTGTCGTTTTCCTCCAACAACACCCCATCCTAGATCAGTCTGGACTGCGTAGGGTTCACCCTTTCCTCCTGCGATTATCTTTCGTGGCACCAAGGCCTCGGGACAGTCGTAGCCTATCAAGAGTCCAACACCAAATTCCTTCAGCGGGGATATTTCATGAGATATGACAGATAGGTGTTCCCATTTGTTGGCTGTTTCACAGGTAGGTATGCGATCTCGATCCAGAGGTATGTCGTCTTTTTGTATAAGCTGGAGGTAGATCTAATACGCAGTTTGAGTGGAGTCCTCTAACTCTCAGTCCTTTGACTCTTTGACTGTTCACCAATGTGTCTCTTCCTGTCATTGTAGTGAGTTTGAGTTTCACTGGTTCTGTGGCCACTTGTAATTTCTTGCAGATTTCTTGATCAATGAAGGTGATGTCACTCTGGGCATCCAGTAGCGCATAGGCGTATACCTTCTTGTTCTTCCTTTTAGGATTTGAAATACACACTGGTACAACCATTGACGTGCCATTGATTTCTCTTTCTCTCACTCTGCAAGAGAATACTGTTGCTTTATTTTCTTCCTCAGTGTCCTTGGGCATTAAGGATTTCTCTTTCTTTGGCCATTCTTCATGTAGTGGGGTAGGATGACGTCCTTTAGAAACGCTGCAAGTGGCCTTTTTCTTACATTCTTTAGTAATATGGCCTTTTTTTAAACATCCAAAACACAGCTGATTATCAAACACAAACTTCTTCTTTTCGTCTGGAGACCTTTCCTTCAATCGTTGGCACTTATGTATGGAGTGATTTTCTTCACAGAACATACACTTGAAGGTAGTCTGAAAACTCTTTACTGATCCCAGTAATGACATTGAACTTGCTCTCATGGGCATCTGGACCTTTAGTAGCTGTGTTGGTTGCAAAGCTAGTTGCTCTTGCGCATCTTATCTCTCTTGTAGGCCTTTCTTCTAAGGGTTTTAAGACATGAGATGCTGTTACTGGATTACACGCTATTCGTGCTTCCTCATTGACAAATTCAGAGAACTCTTTGAAACTTGGGAAGATTTTGCCTTGATCTAACTGTTTAGTCACATAGCGATTCCATCCAGAAGCCACTTGTTCTGGTAGCTTGGCTAGCATCCTGTGGTTTTCTAGATAGTCGTTCAATACTTCTAGTCCTTGAACATGTGGGATAGCATTGCTGCATGTTTGCAGGAAGTCGCCATACTCTTGGAGCTTGAAGTGTTCTTTAGGACCTATTTTAGGCCAGTTTATCAACTTCTCTCTGAAAGCTCTTTGTACTAAGAAAGGATGACCATATCTTGCATTTAATTTTTCCCAAGCTTGCTTGTAGGCTTCTTCATCTTTCCTATAGAAGTTACCTTCAAGAATCTTTTTTGCTTCTCCACCAGTATACCGCTGGAGGTAGAATAACTTGTCCACTGGACGGGAGCAATTATGTTCAATGATCATTTCAAAACTTGCCTTCCATTCTATAAACTTCAGTACGTCTCCGGAGAATACAGTAGGTTCCGGGAACAGGAAGTCTAGTGAGAAATATTCTCTGAGGTTTCGCCGGGTCAACAGTTGTAACATCCTCGTGACCACTGCCATGACATATGGGAGTTGAATTATCTGGTTCTCTTTTTCCACTTTGTTCTGAATCAGGGTGAGTCTCTCTTCTTTTCTCTCTGAGCAGGGATGAAAGGACTATGACTTATTTCTTCATTACATGCTGGAGATTTCCTTCCATTTTCCTGGACGTAAGGAAGAACGTAGGAGTCAGCTTCTCTACTTAGCACTGATTTGGATCTATGACTACCCTGATTCGTATCCTCTTCGTGCACTCTGAGTCTGGCTTCTATAATCTTAACTTCCTTCTGCCTTTCCAGACTTTCCATTTTATGGCGCTGAGCTTCCAGTTCGGCTTTCATTTTATGGCTCTGAGCTTCCATTTTATGTCGCTGAGCTTCCATTTCGGCTTCCATTTTATGGCGCTGAGCCTCCATTTCAGCCATCCGTAGACGCTGAGCCTCAATGGCAGATTCCATCTCAACTTCTGCTCTTTTGGCAGCGAGTTGTTCAGTTAATTCCTTTCTTTTGGCTGACCTACTTGAGAACTACTTGTTATGTGGCTGGCACTTCTGCTAGTGATGGAAGTCACACTTGAGATTGTGGTTCCTCCTAAGGACCTAGCATAGTCTTTCATGAAGAGCTCATTCATTCCCTTTCGTGCCTTGACTTCATCATACTTTGCTGCAGATGATAGTTCTCTCATAAGCTTCACTAAATCCCTAGTGACTGCGGTACATGTATCCATGTTTCTTACAGTATCCTGGGAGGGTGTCAAGGACGACCGCAAGTTGACATATGCTGTCATAAGCTCTGACTCAGAATCTTCTACTGTCTCTATCATTTCACTCAAATTCTCCTTTATGCTTTCTTGTTTTAGCTTTCTGCGAATGTCTATGGTGTATACTTTCCACCTCTCATACATTCGGGCGAACCTTTTTTCTTTCAGTGATGCCTCTTGCTCCAAATTTTCTAGCACCTTTTGGGTCGGTTTTCTGTCCCGTGATGAATGTCTTAATTCACCTGTTTGAGCTATATTTGTTTGGGGCGAGACTACCGTTACATTGCACCTTTCAGATTCAGATAGGTTCTCTTGCTCTTCACCTTCTACCATATCTATCATTGCATCCGCTAACAGTGGGGTGGCAATGCTAGGCTCAGCCATTTCTGAATGCTATAACAATTAATATGAATAATAAGGACCTGTCACTTTAAATGCAATACTAACAAATGCAAGAATAAATTACTTTCAGTTTACATGTAATAGCACCAAAATGCAGGCAATAAATGACTTTCACTTTAAATACATCAGAATCATATACTATAACTGTCTCTTTTTATTAAAAGTCTGTATTCTCTTGAGCACAAAAATGTATAGTGCAGAAACCTATGTGCATAAGTGAGTAATAAAGGAAAGCTCTGACCTTAATTGAAGAGCAGGATATCGTGATCTGAGGGTTGCAGAAACAAACGTCAGTCTTATAAGGAGACTTTTCTTTTCTTGATGCGGTGACTTGCGATGCTCTGCGGTTACTTGCGATGCTCTGCGGTGACTTTGCGATGCTCTGCGATGACTTTGCGATGCTCTGCGGGTAATAGTTCCACTGTGGCAGACGCAGCACCCTTTGGTGCCTAGTGCGCTGTGGCATTAGAAAAATTATGCAATTGCTGTTTCTTTGTTTGATTAGACTGACTTTACTCTGTAATTCCTCCAATGCCGCTCTATGGATGCAGTAGGTTTAAAGAGTACACCGAATACTTTAGTTAACTTCTTTAATAACTTCAATCTTCTTCATATAACACTGCTTACAATGGCTTGTTTCTTTCATATTACAATGGTTTAATTCGTATTACATTGGGTTGATTCGATAGCTTGATAAATTCGTTAGATTTGGTAAATTTGTTTGATTATGATTACTCTACAGTGACTTGATTTGTAAGTTCGTAAATTTGATAAGTTCGGTGAAACTACAAGTAAACACATACAACAGTTTTTACATACAGATCTACCTGCCTGCATTGCTAAACAATAGAGGAACACACAAGTGCATTAAATACCTATTTGGCCTTCTCTGCTTCCATAAAGCTTTTCTGATTGGAACTGTCTGTTTCCTCTTCTGTCTGGTGAGCATGTGTCTCTAGAAAATCCTAGCAGGGAGTTTTACACAGGCATAGATGTGAAACTGGCTGGGATTGGTTAAGGCTCTGTACAGTATGAGGCTGTCTGTGATTGGCTCATCTTTAACTAACTCTTAAAGGCATATTTTCCTTTTCTGCTTCTGCTAACACAATGAATATATAAATGTCATATAACAATCAAAGACATAAATTACAGCAATGATTTTGCTTTTGGCTTTAACATATGCACATATATACTGTACTGAGGTTATTGGCAGGTTTGGTATACACATATATGTGAACCATATTAACAACCTAGGACTGGTCTTAGCTGGCCAGCTACATGTAGTGTTTCAAGTAAAATATAAATGCGTTAAAAACTTATAGCCACAATGCTGCCCAGCAGCATTAGTATTGGCTTTATATATTATTAATACTTATTTGGTCATTGCATATCATACTATATCATCAAACCCCGAATCTCAAATTAACAAATCAAACAACAATCAAATTATCTCAAGTTAACTTACACCCTGGTCACATCAAACCCGACTTTGAAATCATGGGACTTACAGTGAAGTGCGGACAATAGGGTGCGACTTGGCATGCGATTTGCAAATCGAATGGTATGCAAATCACATGCCAATTCACATCCAGTGTGACCGGAGTCTAAAAGAATCAAACAAAAGGTAGCTGAAAATGCATGTAAAGAAATCTTTGATGTTTATTTGATACACTTACAAACTCGGGTAACTGTTCAGCACATTTTGTTTTGCATACCAAAGAAAGTTAAAATTAGTTCTTTAAATGAAGTCCAGATCAAGACCTTTTTAATGTTCACATGAATATTAGGCCTGTGGATATATCATAACCATGTGATATATGTCAGAAAGCTTTAATCTGGGCAAAAAAAAACTTATGAAATACAATAAAACAGAGCTGACAATTACATGAACTCACTAAAGGCTTGCATGGTTTTCATCTATAACTTAGGTCATTTCCTACAACAGAGTTTACACAGTTTAAAGGCATCACACTGAAATTAGTTTTTTTTAAATAAATCATAATATTCTGTATTAATATAATTGTAAGCTTTTCCAAAAAATGGCTAGAGCAACTATTATTTGGAAAAGTGTTTTAGCTGTTTTAGCATTTTTGTGAGCTGCTTTAAAGCAATCCTAAATTCAGATTTTCCTCTGCTCCTTGCTTTTCCCATCCCAAAATATACATAAAGACCTGAAATATTTATTGGTTTACTGGATCTAAAATGTTGCAGTTTTGTTACATTTCTTTTTCATTTTGGGGAAGAGGAGGGGTTCTGTGTAAGGCAGAGGCACTGATTGGCTAGTCAGGGACAGACAGCCAATCACCGCCTCAGACTAACATAATACCCACACTTGGCTGTGGCAGAAAAGTGGCGATGTCACAGAAGCATTGGCTGGTTGCTCCTGGAAATCGGTAAAATGTCAATGCCCTTAAATGTATGTTTTGGATTTAAAGCTGAAGTCCAGCTTTTGGTTCACTTCATAAAGTTTGTTTGGGCCAAGCTGGCCCAAACAAACTATGTCCCTCACTAACATGTGAGCCATAAACTATATGTAGCTGAGGCTACAAACATATACAGCACTGTGTTCAGGTGGAGGCCAAGACTTTCCTGTCTCAGACCCGGAACACAATAGCATCTGTCTGAGCAACGCTCAGCCACACATAGAATGCAATGTATTCTATCAATGAATACAAAATTTCCTCTGAGTCAGAGAGGTGGGCTAATGATGTCACAACTTGACATGTTAGCGAGGGACATAGTTAGTTCGGGCCAGCTTGACCCAAACCAACTATGTAAAGTGTAACAAAAGCTGGAGTTAAGCTTTAAGCTGTAAAAGAGAGAGACAGACCCAAAGACATACAGTCGAAAAAATACCAACATTTTTCTTTAACATTTTTATATAGATATATAAATATGAATATTTAAATTTAATGCAGCTATTTTTAAATCATTCTTGGCAGCCATCTTTCCGTTGACTAACATGGTGGGACTTAAAATGTATGTAAAGGCAATACTTCCATTTCTAGATTTGGACAGTGGAGAAGAGTTAAAACCGTTGCCAACTTTCCATTGCTGTCTGTCTCCTTGCTGAGATTCACACCCTCTATTTATTGCTGGTAACCTGATAGTCATACTCAATGAGAAAGAAAAATAAAGGGTAATGTCAAATTTTAATATTTTGTAAAGGCAAAGGTAAATTAACAAATGGGGACAAATGTTCTGGTGACAACTGTCTAAGATGGACATTTCTCTCACTTTAGGGAGATTTTTTTCCATTTCCTGTTGTTCCCTTACCTACTACTTGAAATTAAAAAGGTTTTGGCTATACATACACTTTAATCACGTGTTAGTTTCTACTATGCTGATTAGGTAGTGTTTTTTTCCCATGATGTAATATGTCCACTCCTGGTAGCAAAAGACCATGTGACCTTTTTCCTAAGTTTTGGGTTACACATTGGAGCTCAGAGATATTTGTTTTGTACTCAAGGCAAGAGAAAAATACTTCAATATAATAGCTATTTGTAATGATGTGCTGATTTGTCCTAAACGTACATTTTAACAATGGGTCCACATTGAGGTACATTTAGCCAAGTGGTCTATGTTATCAACCATTTTAGGCTTACAGAGGCATACCAGAAGCTACACAAATTGTCTTTCAGGAAGTCTGCTTCTGGATTTTGTCTCTGCCATAACTACACTTCACTTACCCTAATACCTTGTAACTTTCTGTTACATTTATATATGTGCAGCCGAGTGGCAGAGAGCAACATCAGTGGGCAGTCTGTGCATGTGTGAAAGCCTTCCTCCCCTCCCTTGTTCTGTAGCAGCCATTGCTCAGACCAATCTGCAGCAGGGGGAGGACACAGATGCCGCAATGATCCCATTGGACTAAGGGATTCAGGAGAAGTGGGGAATGATTCTTACTTTCCTGCCCAGGAAAGTTTAAGGCTTTGTAGCGCCAGGGCCAGAGAACAGAGGACTTCTGTATACCTGCTCCTGAACATTGGGGAGTTCAGCCAGAGGGAACTGGTCCTGTGACTGGGGGTTGAGGAAGCTGGTTGCAGCACATCATCAAATGCACTAGCAGCACCTATGCCACTGCTACAAGGAGGTTGGAGTGTCCTTCTGCCATCCGCTCACATTGCTGCTCATTGGAGGTTTTGTGGAGAGCCTGTGGGAGCCCCTTTTGCCGAATCCATCTACAGCAGTACCCTATGATCTGTGAGTGGCCCATTGCTTATACTGCAAGCAGAGATTGAGTTACTGAGAGCAGGATGCCAACTACACATCTCAAGTGCTGCATTCACACTAGCCTTCCACAGCACTTGTACCAGACCTACAGTAAATTGCACCTACTGTATACTAACTCTATACCGCAGTTCTACTGAACTGTCACTGTTTATGACCTGTATCCTGTATCTGTTCTATATCTGCTCAAGAACTACACTACCTCTACAGCCTACACTAACTGCTTAGTCAGAACTGTTGTTATCTTCCTAAAGGGCCTCAACGTTAGCCGGCAGAAGAAGCATCTTAAGCCCCTGCCATATAACCTGTTCACAAATCCCATTCCACCACTTCTCGCCTATTCCTCACACCTTAAACTTTGACAGTGCCTATTAGAAGGTCTTAGGCCTAGCATAGCCACAGTCAGTGAACTCTGCCAGTATAGCTCCAGTGGTTTTTTTAGTTCAAGTCTTTTAACTGTTCACTGGTATACTTCAGGTGGCATTGTGCTGATCTGGATGGCAAGTGTCATTTTATGCCTTGTCCCTACTAATAATTATTCTGTATACTAAGTGTATTATTACCATTATTATTCATTTTGTCCTTTATCTCTGCCTGCCTGTTTTTAGCTTTATTTGACAAAAATATATTAGGTTTGATTTACTAATTGATTTGGTGCTTGCTTTCTTTGAAATGGCATTATTGCTGGGTAACTAATGTTACTGTTGGTGATTTTCTGTAATACTTTGTGTACTCAGCTTGGTCTGTCAGAGGGGCTGAGGTCTTTTAGAAGATCGAGGCCACGATCAGAGGACCCAATTTAACCAGTGGCTCCTTAGGGGTAGTACTACATATATTGACGATTGCTCATTTTTATAACCTAGGCACTATTTCATATGTGCCTATTGTGATCACTGTTCATGTATGCATTATTGTAGAAAACATAGCATGTACAAGTGTATTTAAAACATCTGCATGTAGGTTGACTTTTTTCTACACCTGCTATTAGTATTACACCTTACGTTTAGTGTACACTGTTTTTAGCTCATGACAAGCAGACACATTAAAGAGCTAAAAATTTCTGCAGAATAAATGTCCTCTGTCAGAGTTTGTTTCCCTTGGCTGGGATTGGTAATGTTATGCAGTCATAAGCTTTAAAAAATAACTTGCCTTGGAAAATTGGCATCATAATCCTGACATTTGTGAATCAAAGCTGATGCTGGCGAAATGTTGTTCTGGACAAGTATACAAATAAAGCTGGGATCCACATTGAAAATGTGTATGTCTGCCATACAGAGGATATTCCATTAACACTGGGGATTCCAGACAGTCTTGAAATGTCACCTAAGAGAAGATCTGCTCTTCATTTAAAATCCTTGCA